TATGGAAAAAGAGTTACTGTTTTTTACCTTGTCAAAGAAGATTTTACCACTTGGATTCCAGTCGGTCAATTGACATGGCTAGAATAACAAAATATAAGTTCTAATTGTGTATTTCTTGTTGTTTCTTTTTAATATATACATAATCAATTTTACTCCAATTTTGTATTTTTTAAGTGCAATGACTATTTGTTCCAATTCTGTATTTTTTGTTAAGCTAAATCATTTTTAATCAAAATAATGGAGTACCAACTGTGTATTTCTTTTTATTACTTTTTTAGATGCAATTGCTATTTATTTTAAATGTGTATGTTATTTTTTTCCGGCCAAATCAGTAAAAAAGAAATTGGCTGGAGTTCCATAACTCTTAGCCAAATAAAAAAGGTTTAGCCAAAATAATAGGATTGCAGGTTCTTTCTTATTTCTAGATACAATGCTTATTTATTTCAACTGTGCATTTTTNAATAATCTAAAAACTAATGAATTTAAATAGGTAAAAATTGTATTGTATTTTTAAAAAATATCAGGTGGACAAGTGAATATATGTCACTTCCTTGGGATGAGATCGTATAAAAGTTATAAAAATTCAAGTGCATGATGGTAATTAGGCTTTTAGGTTCACAATTAATAATCCATGCCAAAATTAGGAAAATTTAGGTGTTTTGTCGAAATTTTATCATTGAAATCAAGTAATGACATGTGATTAACACAATTAAATTACCAATATTGGGAAGAATGCCTTCTTGTGATTCACACTAGTACCTTTTTGTTGTACAACACTTCCACAGTGACAGCAAAAGATAGAAACATAAGGCAATGATGAACAATTTATATCAACAGGCAATGATGAACAATAGAGTACAAAATCCAATATAACACTCTAACTTACGTCTAATTTATCCAAAAAAAGAGCATCTCTCAAGTTCACTCCAAAAGCAATTTGACACTGTTTTCCAAAACTCTTTCAACATTTCCTAGCAAATATCGTTATCTCGATATTTTTTTAATACATAATTCAGGAAGAACTTGATACAAGTTTGATGAAAAATGAGAAGTAGTGACAACTAACATATCCTAACATGGTTAAGTTGGTGTAGTAAAATATCACACAAATTTTCCTAGTTTCAGTTGCGAACTTACAATCTATCCTCCTTTTAAAACTTGCTCCACTTCTATTTGATGAAAGATCCAACCAAAACTACTTCTACCTTACAAACGAGTTGCCACTAAATTAAGTTGCATAAATTAATAAATATTCATCTTTACAGTTTGGCTTTAGTAAACGGTTAGATAATTTGATATTTAAGAAATTCTTAGGCACTTAAACTAATCTTATAGGGAAAAACAAACTCTCTAAGTAAAAGAAAAGAAATACTATATAACAAGGACTATGCGTAGGTGTCTCAAGCCCGCTTCCAAGTTTATTTTTTGGTATCCATCAAGTGACCCTTGAAAATGCAAGAAGACATGCATAAAAGACAATTTTATCTTTGAGTAGACTTAAAAGCAGAGAAATTAGGGAAGACAACAAAATCAACAACCCACTAGGGATATAAAACAGTTTTTTATCTTTGAACTCCTCGAGCCTTCTTTTGAGATTCCACCAACTCTAGGCATGTGGACACCCAAACAGAGAAATAAAATAATAGTAGTAGTACATTATCAACAACCATCTCTAGGAAACACGTGAACCAAATATAAGTTAATTATTTTTCTTTTGTATTTTCTATTCAGGTGGTGCTAAGGACAAGAACGGGATCCGAGGGTGAACGATAGTCTAATGGTTGGTGGGTTCATTTTAAACGTGATTTGTGCTTATGTGGCCACGTGTGGGTTTTGGTGAGGAGGTCAAAAGGTGTTTATGGGAAAATTTAGATGAGGTTGTGCGTAGTATTCCGCCCATCGAGAAACTCTTCATAGGAGGTGATTTTAATGGCTATGTTGGGGAGACTGCTAGGGGTTATGACGAGGTGCATGGCGGATTTGGTTTTGGAGATAGGAACGAGGGAGGAATCTCGTTGTTGATTTTTGCTGGAGGTTTTGACTTGGTGGTAGCTAACACGTGTTTTCAAAAGAGTGAGGACTACTTGATCACTTTCCGGAGTAAGGTAGCCAAGACTCAAATTGATTATCTTCTCTTCAGCAGGTGTGATAAGGGTCTTTGCACTGATTGCAAGGTTATCCTGAATGAGTATCTATCGACGCATCATAGGCTCTTAGTAATGGACTTGGAGATCAAGAGAGCAAGGAAGAAGAAAGCGGTGTACGGTCAGTCTAAGATCAATCGGGGAGTCTTGACTAAGGACAAAGCTCAGGAGTTGGGGGAGAAGCTGTTAGTCATGGGGTCCTGGAGGAGTAGGAGGGACACGAATAGTATGTGGACCACGACTGCAAACTGCATTAGGGAAGCTGCTAGAATGGTGTTAGGGGCCACAAAGGGATACTCGGGAGGACACAAAAAGGACTGGTGGTGGAATGAGAAAATCCAACGAAAAGTGAAAGCTAAGAAAATGACATATGTGATGCTAGTGTAAAGCACCGACGAAGAGGAAAAGAGAACTTATAGGGAGTGTTATAAGAAGGCTAGAAGAGAGGCAAAATTAGCGGTCACGGCGGCTAAGATTGCAGCATTTGAATGATTGTATGAGGATCTTGGGGGCAAAGGTGAGGACAGGAAGCTGTACAAGTTAACCAAGATTAAAGAGAGGAAGGCTTAAGACTTGGTCCAAGTGAGGTGCATCAAATATGAGGATGGCAATGTGTTAGTAAAAGAGGCGTCTATTAGGCGTAGGTGGCTGACGTACTTCCATAAACTCTTGAACGAGGAAGGGTACATGAGCATCGTGCTCGGTGAGTTGGAGAACTCGGGGAGTCAGAGTGATTTTGGATTTTGTAGGCGTATTAAAGTTGTGAAAGTTGAGGAGGCAATGCAGAAGATGAACAAGGGTAAGGTGACTGGGCCTGCCGAGATACCGGTGGAATTATGGAAGAGCACGGGGTCGGGCAGGCTTGGAGTGGTTTACTGTTTCATTTAATGTTATTTTCAGGATGAAGAAGACGCCCGAAAATTGGTGGTGGAGTTTGATGATTTCGTTGTACAAAAATAAAGGTGATATCCAAAATTGCAACAGTTATCGGGGTATCAAGCTGCTGAGTCATACTATGAAAGTTTGAGAGAGAGTGGTGGAGAGGAGGGTGAGGAGAAGTGTGTCTATTTCTAAGAATTAGTCGGGTTTATGTTGGGGCGGACAACTACCGAAGCCACACACCTTGTACGGAAGATTGGTAGAGCAATATCGGAAGAGGAAAAAAGACTTGTATATGGTGTTCATTGACCTAGATAAGCCTACGATAAAGTCACGAGGGAGGTCCTACGGATATGTTTGGAGGTTAGCGGTATTTCAATAGCATACATTAGAGTATTTTTGGATATGTACGAGGGAGATAAGACTCGGGTAAGGACTGCGGGTGGTGACTCTAAACATTTTCCAGTGAAGATGAGGTTACATCAAGGATCGACTCTTAGCCCATTTTTGGTTGCCCTGGAGTTGGATGTGCTGTTGCGACGCATACAATAGGAGGTACCATGTTGTATGCTATTTGCTGATAACATAGAACTGATTGACGAGACGTGATGGAGGGTTAACGCTAGGTTGGAGGTTTGGAGACAGATGTTGAAATCTAAAGGTTTCAAGTTAAGCATGTCGAAAAAAGAATATTTGGAGTACAAGTTCAGCGATGGGATGCCTAAAGCAGAAGTGGACGTGAAGATTGATACACAAGTCATCCCCCAAAGGGATAATTTCAAATATCTTGGGTATGTAATCCAGCGCAACAGGGAGATTGACGAGAATGCTACTCATCGAATTGAAGCGAGGTGGATGTAATAGAGGCTCGCTTCTGGGGTTCTGTGTGATAAAAATATGCCACCAAGACTTAAGGACAAGTTCTAGAGAGTTGTCCTCTAGAGAATGGTGGTTAGACCGACTATGATGTATGGAGCGGAGTGTTGGCCCGTCAAGAAGTCTCATATCCAGAAGATAAAGGTAGCTGAAATGAGGATGTTTGGATGGATGTGTGGGCATACTAGAAAAGACAAAGATTAGGAACGGAGTTATTGGGGACAAGGTGGGTGTGACCTCGGTAGAGGACAAATTGGAAAAATCGAGGCTGAGATGGTTTGGACACGTGCATATGAAAGACATATATGCCCCAGTCAGGAGGTATGAGAGATTGGCCACGACGGGTCTAAGAAAGGTAAGGGTAGGTCAAAAAGGTATTGGGGTGAGGTGATTAGACATGATATGTCATTGCTCCAGCTTACCGATGACATGACCCTCAATGGGAAAGGGTAGATGTCGAGAATTAGGGTGGTAGGTTGAAAGATATTCATTAGTCTCTTAGTCTTATCAGTAGTACTAGTAATACTTTTGTATTTTTCTTATTCCTGGTTCATTATTAGTATATGTTGTGCCATTTGCTCATATTATATTGTTGTTGATACTGTTTGTTATATTTTTTTCACTGTTACTTGAGCTGAGGGTAAATCGAAAGTAACTTATCCACCTTTACGAAGTAGGAGTAAGGTTTGCGTACACATTATCCTACCTAAACCCCGCTTGTGAGATTAGACTAGATTTGTTGTTGTTGTATTTTTCTTTTGTCTTTTCAGTGACTAATGAAGTACATGAAAAGTAATAATGATGACTCATATATGATATTTATTTGAGCATTATTTTAGCACGATTAAAATTAAAAAGAGATATAAATTAGGATATGGAGGTAGATTCATAAATAAAACTAGTTATTATCACCGAAGGATCTGATGAGATTCTAAATTCTTAATTAAATATTTCGAACTATAACTCTAAAAAGAGAAAAATTACTAGTAGTAGGAATCACTTTCTTGCAAATCCAAATTAATCGGAAAATGAAATTCGCACACCAAATATTGATTTGTCATTTCAATTTTTTAATAAGTGGCACCATTAGCCATTTAAATGAGGTGTTAGGCTGGTCCAATAGAAGCCACACTCTGAAATCTGAATTCACTATCCAAAACATAAGGAGACTCTCACCCAATGGCAACTAATACTCTAATTTCAGCATCCTCCCCTTCACCTACCATGGCTTCTTCTCTCACCGGCGCCGCCTCTCGTTTCCTCCCCTCCGCCACCATCGCCGCCACCTCCTCCTCCTCCGCCACCACCAGACTTTCCCTCTCTTCTTCTTCTCCTTCCCTCAAATGCCTCCAATCCTCCCCTCTCCTTTCTCACATCTTCCGCTACCAGGTTCGAAGTTTGATTCTCTTCTTTTTTCGCATTTTTTCTGGATTTTCGTTATATTGCTATTTTTATTTATTGTAGAAGCGATCCTTGGTCGGAACATCATCTAGTGGAAGATTCAGCACGTTAGCCTCGCCGAAATGCGCCGCGTCTGATTCTGATCAGTTGAAAAGTGCGAGAGAGGACATCAAAGAGCTGTTGAAAAACACGTTTTGTCATCCTATTTTGGTAATTTTACACTTACATGCTCACTATCACTTTTTTGTTTACTGGTGTTTGACTGGGTACAGTCTTGTGATATAAATAAGGCGTAGATTCTTGCGTGCTATAGATCATACTCCCTCTGTTTCACTTATGAAACTTGTGACTTTAAATATGTTATGACATTTGTGTAGTTATAAACTTTTCAAACTTTTAGGATTAAAAATGTCAAAGCATATGCGAGGCTATAAAAACTTCTCGTTGAAAAAATATAGAAAATGTGTCATTCTCTTTGCAATGGACAAAAAGAAATAATTTCAAACAAAGTGGAACAGAGGAGGTATATAAAATGAGAAGTTATAAAAATGTGTCAAATCTTTTTCGACATACTAAAAAGGAAATGAACTTCAGCTGATTTTTTTTAACGCTTAAAAATGGTTCCAGGTTCGATTGGGCTGGCATGATGCTGGAACTTACAACAAGAATATAGAGGAGTGGCCACAACGAGGTGGAGCTAATGGAAGCTTAAGATTTGAAGTTGAACTAAAACATGGAGCAAATGCTGGTAACATTCTTCATTTTGTTACCTTTTCTTTTGCCCACTTTCTAATTTTTCGGCTGACAATTAAGCCTGCAAATTCAGGACTAGTAAATGCACTGAAACTTCTCCAGCCAATCAAAGACAAGTATGCTAATGTGACATATGCTGACTTATTTCAGTTGGCCAGTGCAACTGCCATTGAGGTCATTGATTACTTCTGTTTTTTTTTTGTTTGCTTGAAAGTTAAAATTCAATCATTTGATTTTTCTACTTTTCAAACTTTTCGAACTTATAGGAGGCTGGAGGACCAAAACTTCCCATGAAATATGGGAGAGTAGACGTTTCTGCACCCGAGGAATGCCCAGAAGAGGGAAGGCTTCCTGGTGAGAGATTCTTAGCTGTCATCTATTTTTCTTTTGTACATCACGATTTTCTGCAGCTTAGCTTATCATGCATGGAAACTACTGGTCAAGATATGTTGAATGAACTTTATCCCTGTGTTTAGTATTTAGTAGACTCCTGCAGAGTCAACCACTTCATCTAAATCTATCTTGGTCTTATCCTCTTTGAAACATGGTGGTTAGCGAAGTTCAATTGTTTTGCACAAGGTCGAGTTTGGTACGAGCTCGCGTAAAACTTTTTTCTTTTATCTGAAGTTCATCAAATCCTGGAAATTAAAGAAGAGTGTGCATCTGCTATTTAATGTAAAAAAAAAACGGATTACCTGGGTGGATGAAGAGGTTCGAACGAAGGAGCTATACCTAGGTCTTTGCTGACGCCTCAGGTTAGACCACATTACCTTGCTGATGCAAGGGAAACTGCAACATCCTGCTAAATTTGTTTAAGCCAAAATTAAGTGGTCGAATTGCAAAGATGTGTAGCCAACATTTCTTCAATTTAAATCTAAGTGTACACTTCAAAAAATACATCAGTAAACTTGAATATGCACGACTTGATTTTTGATCCTCCGAACCCACTAAACACCATATAAATGCTTCTAATGTATTCGCTTTTTCGTTTGATAACTGAGTAATATTTTAGGGCCAGTGTCGAATGGTTCAAAACTCGATGGGCCCTCTAACTACTCCACGTAAATAGCAGGCTTTCGTCTGTAGCGATTTTCGAACTCGGACATGTGCCTAACTCATACATCACATGATGTACTCTTACCATTAGACCAAGGCCTTGGGGATCTAACACGTTCACTTCATAAGACAAATCTTTATCACATCACTAGACATGCAACTTAAAATTTACAATGCCGTTGATTATCATATTCAATGGTTGCATTACCTCCAATCCTGCACTACAGGAAATTTTGATGTCATCCAATTCTTGTTACCTTGGATTAGCAACCCGTACCATTGGACAAATTTGAGGAGTTATAGTTGTTAGAGTCCTACATCGGATGGGATAGGGTTATTTGTCTCCTTACATGATCTTGGATAATCCTCACCTCATGAGCTAGCTATTGGGGTTGAGTTAGGTCCAATGTCTATTTTTTACACGGTATCAGAGCTAGATCCATTTCTATTCTTGGTATATCACTATATCCAATGTTGGACCCCCATATTATGTCGTCCACGATTTAGATGTCCAGTCCTGGGTATGTCCCAGGGTATTAGAGTCCCACATAAGTGTGGGATGGAGTTGTTTGCCTCCTTTTATGGTCTTGAGCAATCCTCACATCATGAGCTAGCTTTTGGGTTGAGTTAGGCCCAAGGTCCAATTCTTAAAAATAGCATATGGTTGGTCATCTAACTCTGGCATTCTTTTAGGGCATAACATGTGTGTAGTCTGTAACTTTGGGAGAAAAAAGAAGTCTTTGTCTGTTGAAATGAAGTTATACTTTTCATTTTGCAATTGTTAAATACAGGTATAGACAATGTTTTGAAACCTTACTTTTTCAAAAGAAAAAACAAACAGGTATACTTAAAAGCTAGATTTCACTCGGTAATGATCCTCTTCTATTTCTTTTGTGCCAAACAGGCTGCTTTAATTTTGATCATGTTATTTTTCCTTAGAATCTTATATAATGCTTTACCTAACTGTCCTGAATGTTTCGGTCTGATTATTCAGCTTCCAACTGAAGCAGATCCCTCATCCCTGTATGCCCAGTTGCAGTATGTTGTATGTCTTAGATGGTCTACCATGACTTTCTTTTCTAATCCTTCATATTGAAGAGTCTAACTTCTGCATTGCATCTAATAGTCTCCTATTGCAAAATTATCCTCCATTTGCTTTGGTATATATAACTAACTTAATCTTATTGATTAGATGCTGGTCCTCCTTCCCCTGCTTCTCATTTACGAGATGTTTTCTACAGAATGGGGCTAAACGATAAGGTAACACTCGTCATTGTTGTTCTCTAGTTCGTCTCACTAATGATTCAAGTTCCCTTTGCTCTAGCTATGTATGCTTCTCACTGGTGAGCTTTTTGTTTCTAGGAAATTGTCGCACTTTCTGGGGCACACACTTTGGGGAGATCCAGACCAGAGCGTAGTGGTTGGGGCAAGCCAGAAACAAGATACACGGTAGTCATTTCCTCATGCTACTTGATATTATCATTAATTGTAAATGGTTGTGCTTTTCGGGTGTTTTTTTTCTTTTTCATATTTCCATTCAGACTTATTTATTTTTTCAGCTATAAGTTTAGAGCCCGTTTGGATTGGCTTAAAAAAAGTGACTTTTAAGCACACGTGCTTAAAAGCACATTTCAAGTGCTGGAGCTTGTTTTATAAATAAGGAGTTTACATGTTTGGATAAAAGTGCTGAAGCTGAAAAAAAGTTGTTGGAGTGTTTTGTAAACAAATACTAGTAAGCACTTTTTTCTGTTAAAATGATTGAAATATCCTTAAAGTTGTTAACACTATAAAGAAGATGTTACTATAATATTTTATTCTAAATTAACGCATATACAAATAATTTATAATTAAATCACTTTCAATTTTAATTAATTGTCTAAATATAAATTATTTTTTAAAATAATATGCAATTATTAATTATTTGACCAAAAACGTGGTTTTTCCGTTCATAGCTTCAGATTCTGGGGTAACATGTAAACTCATTGAAATATTTGATTTAGAATATAGTTTCAGCAATTAAACGAAGGACGGATTCAACGACAAAAAAAATTAACTGTTATGGAACCAAAAAAAGAAGCTAAAGAATAATATTTACAAAATATTGGAATATATCAAACATTTATTTAAAAAAGCTACTTATGGCTTCCCTTTTAGCACTTCAAAAAAGTTAACTAATTTTGGTGAACATAGCAGCAACGATAAAATGGAAAATGTTGAGAATTGACACATTAATTAGTAAGGGAAGGGTAGTTTTGGGGTTTAGAAAAAGTGAAAGGAACAGTAAGGTAAATCACTTGGTCAAACATAAGGAGCTTATAAGCCAAAAAGCTATAAGTTGGGCAACCCCACCTTATTGCTTTTGACTTGTTTTGGGTATTTTAGCTTGAAAGTATTTGGCTTAAAAACACTTTTATAGTCTACCCAAACATTCAAATAAGCCTAAAAGTGCTTTTAAGCTGGTTTGACCAACTTTTAAGCCAATCCAAACACCCTCTTAGTCTAGAGAGAAGACTGACCAATTGAGGATCATCTCAATAAAAAGCATGCTGCAGAACTCAAAATGCTTCTTTGTACTATACCTTTCTCAAAAAAAAAAAGAAGCTTCTTTGTATTAATGCATGTGCAAAGATGGGCTGGTTGTGTATGAATCATTATATGTACACCCTTATGAAATATTGGACTTTGTTATCAAAACTCTTTTCTTCCTCAAATTAGTTTGAATAATGTTCTCACATAGCCCTTCGTACGGAAATGGGAACTACTGAGGGCTGTGTAATTGGATCCTAAATTCTTATATTTTCTAATACAATAAGGTCAGTCTTTTGCACTTCACATCTCTATTGTTCAGTCACTTTTTATTAGTTCTCATGTCTTTGGTCTTGATTCTTTTCCTCTATGGTCTGTACTATGTTGCTTTTGTTTCTTTACAAATCTTGATAAAAACCAGATATCTGCTGCTAGCCTCTGTGCAACGATCCAGTTATAATAGTTTCTTGCATATTAACAACTCTGGGTTTTTGAGCTGATTTGTTCTGCATTGCAGAAAGATGGTCCAGGAAACCCTGGAGGACAATCATGGACTGTGCAGTGGTTGAAGTTTGACAATTCCTACTTTAAGGTGCCATATGATGATAATTGATACACTGAAGTTTGATGAAACATGATGGTTATTGCTTATTATTCTTTAATTTGAAATAATGTTAGGACATTAAAGAGAGAAGAGACGAAGATCTGCTAGTTTTGCCAACAGACGCGGTTCTTTTTGAAGATTCTTCATTTAAGGTGGAAAGGAGAGCACAGAATCATGAAATCTGTCAGTACAAACTTATTTTGCTACTCTAACAGCTTACAATCTTGCAGGAATATGCAGAGAAGTATGCTGTAAATCAAGATGTATTTTTCAAAGATTATGCGGAAGCACATGCTAAACTGAGCAACCTTGGAGCCAAATTTGATCCTCCTGAGGTTTGTCAGCAGAACTATTTTTTGTCTGTTAATAAGATTATGCTTTTTGCATCTTTATTTCTATATGCTGCAAGTCCACGCTCATCTAAATTTTTTGTGAGGTAGCTGGATGCGCAATTTTCACCGATTTTTCATTGGTTACTATTTGTATGAAATCTAAATGGATGTTCTTGTGACTTTATGAGCTCCTTGTGCCTCCTACCGTCCATTTTTGCTGTCCAGCACACACGTAAATATGGCGTCCTGACTAGTAATATAGGACGAATACTACTACCATTCCACAAAGAATTTGCACTAATCACTTGTTAAATATCAATATAGTAACTACTTTAATTTGTTCAGGCAATCTAGCTTTGACTAAAATGTTAAATTAACCAAGGATAAATCTAAGGATGAACGGAAGATGACGTAAAAATTATGGAATTTGCTCGAGCGTGAAGGCCTAGGACTAGATTTCTCTTAATACTTCATTCAACCAAATGCATCCCTTAAACCATACTTTTGTGAGTTTAGTTATTAACCTATAGTGGAGAATAATGATAAAGAGAACCCACTGGATTAAGCCCAGTTTGTGGTGATATAAGGCAGACTAGGTATGCTCCTATCACAAATCAACTCACCTATTAAGTGCGTTGGACTTATGGTATTCAATCCTAGTCAGAACTAGGTTCCTTTTTCTAAGTTCAAACTTAAGTTTCCAAATAAATCCAGTTGCTCGCCAATCAATTAGAAGAATCAAGTACAAGATTCCAATGAATTAGAAGAATCAAGTACAAGATTGAATAACTAACTCTGTATCCATTAAGGATAAGAAAGAATGTCAGATTCCGTTATATTTTAGAATAATGAAATTACTTCATAGCAAAACTCAAAAACACCAAGTAGATATCCGTAATTATACCTAAAACACCAAGAAAATAGAGAAAAAGAAGCAAAACTCTGTCAAAGATGACTTCTTTTCAAGAATTCCTTTCTTCGCACTTCAATTCCTTGCCAAAATACTCTCTGTAAGCCCCTGCGTGAATTCAATTTATATAAGTAATGGAACGGCAACTTAGAAAATTAGAAACACAGAGCAGCACCTGACGCTAAAGTTTGAGCTCCTAACTGTTGCCTAAAACTTCGTAGCCTGAATTTTGACTACCACCAATTGCTTTTGTAGTGCCTAGGCACTGATTTTAAGAGAGAATTTTGAAGTTGTGCTGCACCTAGCTGCTAGCCTTCTGCTAACAGTATACACCTTCAGTACTTTTTACCACATGTATCTGTAGGGGTGTCCAATTGACAAACCATCTGACGACATGCATCTGTAGGGGTGTCCAACTGATAATCCATTTAAAAAATTAAAATCTAGGTCTTGAGTTCGCAATATGGCTTAGTAAACCCTCATAGATACACATTAGTAAATTCTTAAAGTTGAGTTAAAATGCAACTTGATTATAGCATGCTTAACATGCTGCAGAATGTGAACTTGGTCGGAGAAACTTATGAAATGCCCTGACCTTGGTCCGTATGTATATAAAATCAACTTATTATATGTCTCGCTTACAGGAGTACCTGCAGCTCTTGCACTTTTTCTCTAGTCCTATTCTCAAGGGTCAACCTTACTGTACCCGAGCATGTACAGTGTTGTTAAAGGCGTCCTTAAAGGGCGCTTAACCCCTAAAGCGAGGCTCAAAACATGTTGAGCGCTTCGCATTGCTTAGTGGGCGCTTTAGTGTTGTTATCAAGGATCTAAGGCATACTTTTCCTTGCCAATGAGCGATATCCTGAAGAGGCAAACCTAAACAATTGATATTCACTTTATTGTAAAAACAAAACTCAATTTCTTTATCCATATATTTATTATTCATGCTTATAATTATTACTCTTGGACTACACATATTTTTTTTTTCCTCCATTTGCGCCTTTCTTCGTTAAAGCCCACGCTTTATTTGTACTTTGGGCTTAAAGCCCCGATGTACCTTAGAGCTTTTTTGCGCTTTTCGCTTTTGATAACACTGAGCATGTATCACTTCAAGCCTTTCTACTGATCTGTGAGAATATCTCCGTCAAACCAACTCTAATATGTCTTCCGGACTATTCATTCGTCTGACTGTAAACTAAGGCCAGAACCAACTCTAATATGTCTTCTGGACTATTCATTCGTCTGACTGTAAACTAAGGCCACTTCTGATTCTGCACTTTTTTTGGCATTGATTCTGCACTATGTTCTTCATTAATCATTCGACATTCTTTCATTTCCATGCAAAACTCCTCATATCTTTTAGGTATACTTTCATCCACTCCACCAAATTCAGATATGCCCCGTAGCTTAGCAATATTTTTAATCAATTCCATGATAAATAATGTTTTCTTCACTCCACCTCCTCAAATAATCCGTTTTTCCCTCCACGGCGGTAAGGGCCAAGGATCTACTATTTAAGCACCAACCATTGTGCAACTTTAAAATATTAGCAAATGTATGGTGACTAGAGAGACAATGATATGTATTGAATTTCTTGGACAGGGTTCCTCAATAGACAATACTCCTACACAAGGTCAGCCAGAGAAGTTTGTGGCAGCAAAATACTCAACCGGAAAGGTAAATCTAAATTGCTTTTTTACTTTTCCTTCCGTTAATTAGTCAAATTGTCACACTTGCATTTTAATTCCTGGAGAGATGTATACATGTTTAAATTTTACCTTTTCTGGTTGCTGCAGGATTAAATACAACTTATCGTCTTTAGTTCTGCCGTTTCTTTTAATTTGCCAAGATCAAGCTATTACCAAAATTTTGCTCTCAAAAATAAAATTTGGTAGCCTAATGAAGGAGAAATAAATTCAACGAGTCTTGCCTATTTGAATTGCAGAGAGAGCTCTCGGATGCTATGAAACAAAAGATTCGAGCAGAATATGAAGGTTTTGGGGGGAGCGCAGATAAGCCTCTCCCAACAAACTATTTTCTCAATATCATGATTGTGATTGGTGTTTTGGCAATTTTGACATCTTTGCTTGGAAACTGAGATGGCTTTGGTTTGATCTTGTAGATATTTTGAGTGCTTTATATCGGCATTATTGAGAATGGAAATTTTGCCCTGTCATATATGCAAAATTTGAAATTTTCACAGCTATTCTGTCAATTTTGTCACTCTTCTTTGTGCCTTGCAATTCTCTCATAACAGGAGAAGCTGCTGCTATTCAACCTTAAGCACTTGTGTGGTTTGGTGACTTTGCATATGGAATTTCTGTGGAAATTCTTGTTTGGAGTGTTCCTATTATCTTCTTATAGTGTTAAGATCATCTTCGACATTATTAAGAGCACACAAAATGTGAAAAATATTTTCTTCTCTTTTAGATTTCAGAAGGAAATTAAAAAAAGAAAGTTAAGAATAATTTTTGTTGTAAGAGCTCACAATTTAGATATTTTACAAATCCTAAACACATACCATGACCGATTAGCTAAAATGAGACAATCTTTTGATCCAAGTACCTTATTTTTTGGTTGGAAATATTAGGTCATTGTATCGTTAACGTATTTATGTGTACGCTCTTGAAGTTACTAACCTTTGGTTAATGCAACATTGTGAAAATATGAACATAGGATTAATAACTTGTTAGTGTTTTTTAGTTAAATCCATATCCCTCATTCTGTTGCATTCAATTCATTACC